TCACAGTCAAATCCGGCTAATTTGGTAAGAGAAGTAATACAAAATTTAAGCTTATCGGTGTTTGTTCATTTCTCCGGGGTTTGTACTCATGGAGTAACATAGGGAACCGCTACATTGATGATCTGACCAATTTTCCATGTTTTAGTCCACGTCCGCAATAGTCTGCAACTAAAAACATGGGATTGCTATATCTGTTCCACGGCTGCTCCAGGGGTGGACATGTTTTTGACTACCAAAGAATTTGTGGGGCGTAATTTTTCATGCCAAGAATTTTTATTCTGCACGTGTACTGGCAAGATTGTGAGAGCTACTTCTGTAGTGTTTTCAGCGGCACAGCAAAGTAAATTTTGTGCATTTTCTACAGATTCACTAGCAGATGCCGGACAAATACTGAAGGGTACAGTCCTGATACTAAAAAAAATTGTAATAAAGACATACACTCTTAATTTGCTTTTTTGTCTGAAAATAAAGCAGGGTTGGCTTCAGAAACCAATCTTCTAATTAGGCACAAATAATTTGACCATCTCAAAGATATGAGGCAATGCACTGCTTTTAACTGCAGGTATGGTGGCAATAAGCATCAAAGTTCCTACAGTTAAGCATCGCTTCGCTGACGTTTATAATTACCAATTGCCGGCATGCGTATACAGTTGGGATGCTTTGAAGAAATTACCATGAAGCAGCAGTTTCATTCCGGTTGAACATCTGTACGTCATTTTCCTTTTCTGACCGTGAGAATTCGATATTCTTGTGTTATCTTCAGATGTCGAGTGGGAAACCAGTCGAAAGTCGTCAGGCACCGTCATTTTATATTCTGCATCTTTAGATATTTGGAGAAGCTTACGTTGTTGAAAGCCTGTTGACGACCCTTAAGAATGACCATGAGAGACTCCATAGCACTTGTAGAATAAACCAGTTTTTACGGCCGAAGATGGCAGTTATGGCTAGAAATTGAAGCTTGGAAAAAACGGGTGCGGAATCCTTCATCCAAAAGATTTGAAAGTGCTACCTTACTGTTTAACTATCAACAGTAAACGTGGGCACACGGAAGGTTTTCAGTTGATCCTGTGAGAAATGTTTAGGCAACTTAATCCTTTTCCAGCAAATATATTTTGTGCCCGAGTGCTGGAAGCCAGGCAGCATTTGACAGACCATACAATTTGAGTATGAATTTACCGTACTCACCGGCTATGAGCTTCCTTTTGGGTTATCCACAGGGTTTAACCGTACACAACTTTCACTGCAATATTTAATAGCAGTCTCAAATTTGATTTGGGCTAATGCTGCACGAGAGTGCAACGGTACTTTTATCCTACGCATAACAAAACTAGCCTAGTTTCGTTATCTGTGTGCAAAGGATTAACTAATCTATGCTCTGGAATAAAAACTAAAATTCCCAGAAAGAACATACTTCACCTAAACGACTTATTTTGGTAAGTGCTGTTTGATGATAAAAAAAATGCCCATTA